CCTCTGACAACAGAGGTCCTAGGAGTTAATCAGGTAGCTTTCCTCCCGAGAATGCAGTCTACCTAGTGCCAGAAACATGTCATGGACTGAACTGTGTTTCTTCCCCTGTCTACACATACTTTTCAAGTCAGAGAAAACCCCGACCTAGTCCCAAGGATCTCTGGGATCCTTTTCTGACCTTCTTCCCTGGCCTGGCCTGGTCCTGGCGTCCAGGGTGAGAACTTCATGTCTCAGCCAGGGCTCAGAGATGCTTCCTGGCCTTGGTCACACACTTCAGCTTTGGAGTCCTTGTTATAACAGGCAGAACAGCGTCCTTGGTGTGTCCTGTAGATCCACCCTTGTACAAGGTCCAGGTGGCAGGCAGAGGATGAGCTGCAGCATTTGGGATTCTGTCAGCTTTAGTCTAGGCCTCCCCATTCTTCAGAGCAGGGAGCTCAAAGTGGAGGGAGCTGAGTGGACAAAGGGTTGCTGCACGGCCCCTCCCCACAGCATGGACACTCCAGCACCAGCTGCATCCTGCACCTGCTTCCATAAGAAGCCAACATTGACACATTATCATGAAAGCCATCATGGTTGGCATCACGGGGCACTGTAAGGGTGTCACGTACTATGGATGTTGAAAATGTGCAATGACCAGTACCCACACTTACAGTGTCACACAGAGCTGCTTCAGAGCCCTGAATCCTCCATGTTCATCTGTTGATTTCTGCTTCCTTCCAAACCCCTGGCAAGCAGGGATATTGCGTCTGGCCTTGCCAGGATGTAGTCACACCAGCACAGTCTTTGCTCACCAGCTTTGCTCTCTTGGTCACAGGCGTTTTTGCTTTCTTCCTTTTTCTGATTTGAGAGCTCCTTTCATCTCTTAATACCATGTCATCATGTGGATGTATCATCATTCATTTATCTATTTGCCTATGAAAGCATATGAGGGTTGTGTCCAGTTACTGCAGCAGCTGGCAACATTGTTGGCTGGTTTTTCATGTGTGCAAAAAAAAAAAAGAAAGAAAGAAAGAAAATGACAGGAACTATCAAGGAACGCAAGTGCTGGACCACAGAGCAAAGGTTCAGTGTTTATGTGTGGGAAACCAGCGAAGCTCCTCACACAGGGGGTCTCACTTTGCATTTGCACCAACAGGGATGGAGGTTTCTCATTCTTTCCCACTTGCCACCAGGGCAAATGTGTCTTGTTTGTTTCTTACATATTTTTTTTTTTTATTGGAAAGTCAGATTTACAAAGAGAAGGAGAGAGAAAGCTCTTCCATCTGCTGGCTCACTCCTCAGGTAGTTGTAACGGTTGGAGCTGAGTCGATCTGAAGCAAGGGGACAGTGCATATTCTGGGTCTCCCACTAGGGTGCAAGGTTCCAAGGCTTTGGGCCATACTCTACTGCTTTCCTAGGCTATAAGCAGAGAGCTGGATGGGAAGTGGAGCAGTCAAGACATGAAGCGGTACCCATATGGGATCCCGGTGATTGCAAGGTGAGAATTTTAGCCTCGAGGCTATTGTGTCAGACAGGCACAAGTCATTTTGACATGTGCATAATGATGCTTTTAAGTGAGATGCCATATCCTCCCATGACATGTCACGTTGAGGAGCATTTTTTCATATGCTTGCCATCTCTGTTGGTGAAGCATCTGTCCCAGCTTTTCATTGGGTTGCTCTTTTATTCTCTTTTGATTTTAGGGCGTGTTTGTATGTTTCTGATAATTTTCCTTTATGGGGTATGTTTTTCCATGGAAGAATTCATGGCAGTTTTATTCAACAATACAACATGTGATAACAATAATGCCCACCATCTGTATATGCCTTACGTTACTCATCTGTTCACCTTAACGTCACTTTGGCTGCTCGCACCTGTCGTCACAGTTTTGTTCCCAAACAGGACATAGTTGTAATGTCCATTGTAAGAAGACTGAATGAGTAATGTGTAGCATATGTGTACTATAGAGTGTTGAGTAAAAAAACAGCAATGTATATTTTATGTTATATCATTAACTTTAGTGTAAAGCCACACTTTGTCCTTGGCACTAATGGAACGAGAAGGGCCATTTTAGTGTTATACACAAAATGACGAACTTCACTGTTTTATTCAATGGAAACAGCTGGACATCAAAGTGTAGACATAATATCTGATTCCATTTGCAGGAAATTGTGAAGTAGGAAGATGAAAGAAAGGGCAAAAGAATCAGACCTGTGTTTTCCCAAGGAGAGTTGGTTGATGTGTGCCCCCAAATTCACGAGCCCCAGTAACTCAGAATGTGGCTGTGTTTACACAGAGGGCTGTTGGACACTAATCCAATTACCCTGAGGTTACTAGGGGGTCCTGATCTGATCTGATAGTGAATGCAGACACAGGCAGAGTGAGGCCACGCACGGGCACAGGTGCAGAGCCGCGTATAGATGTCAAGGAGAGAGGCCACCGGAGAACCGCGTTGTGGCAACGAGGAATGTGAGAACAGGAGTTGCTGCCGAGCCAGGGCCCGCTCTGTGGTTCTTTGCCTGGGCAACCCCAGGAGTGTCCAGTGAGGCCCTTGACCAGCAGGGGACGTGTGGCATTGGGAATGTCTAGAGCTTCATGAGCTGTGGGTTAAGAGGGTACATCTGTTTGTCAGACTTGTGCAGCTGTCTACATTTCAGCATATGGGAATGTGTTTTTAGTTTCATCCTGTTTTCCTCCCTTCCCATGCTTGGATATTCTGTTAGTTTATAAGCTGAATTCTACTGCAGAAAACTCTTTCTCACACAAAAATTCCCCCCTTGTTTTCCTTTCCAACTTTCTTTACCAGAAATACAGCCTCAATCTTAGAACTTCCTTTTCCCTCTAGTTACTGGTTCACCTCTGATTTGCTTTCATTTCCTTCCTCAAAATAACTTTTTGAATGAATCCTTAGAACTCTCTGAATTGGGCAAAGTCATTTTTCAGAAAAATCATAGTTTAGTCTTACGTTTTGAAAGGCAGACCAAGGGAGGAGTGGGCGCAGAGAGAAGCCCTCAACTGCTTGGGCTGGTCCAGCTCAAAGCCAGGAGAGCAGAGCTGTGCTCTGGCGTGGCAGGTGGAAGCAGAGGCCCAAGTCTTTGGCCCATCACCCACTGCTCTTGCAGGTGCCTTATGAGGGAGTTGGGTGAGAAAGAGAGCAGCTGGGACTTGAACTGGTATCGCAAGCAGCAGCATGGAGTACCACAAGGCCACTGCACAATTGCTCTTTTTCCAATGGAAGAGATAGTATGGCAGACATAGAGGCACACTCCTGAGGGTCTGGGAAAACAGGAACTGCAATCGAACCCCTTATTGCCAAAAGTGGCTGCTTTTATATGCATCCCTCTGCTTCCTTTTTCCCCTGTAGGTCTTAGCTTTCTGCCCTTTCTGCTGCTTTTTCTCCTCATACTCCTCCCCGTAGGTCCTATTGCTTTTGTACCCCTCTTTCTGCTGCTTTTTCTCCCCGCTGGTCTTAGCTTTTCTCCCCGTAGGCCTTACTTTTGTATACCTGTCTGCAGCCCCACTCTTCTTCCTATCTGTTCTTCTCCCTGTTCCTCTTACTGCTTTTAGCAGCTGCTTTTATACCGCTCCCCACCAATCACTTCTCCCCGGGGGTCCACTTGGCACTACCTGATAGGCCATTAGCAATGACATAATCACAGTGAGGGCATCAGCCTATCCCCATGACTTCCTGTTACCTGCTGGCGAGACCAGCCCTGCCTCCTGGCTAGCTGCCACGGCCTTTCCTATTCTTGGGGGTGGCTCCAGCACCCTACTCCCCACAATGACCGTTTCATTTTAACTGCAGTCAACAGCAGCTAAAGTGCCATGATGGCTCCTTGGCAGTCCTTGACTGGCAACTCCCCTGGGAGAGAGCTGTGACTGCCATTGGGACAGCTTGGCCTGGAACTCATGATGAGGCCTCTTCCTTTATAGCACCCAAGGGCCCCTTCCCTTTCTGTGCCAAGATCTGTGCCCATTGCAGGGCCAGCTCCCCTGTGTCAGCAAGTCCCAGAACCTTCCAAGGGAACTGCAATTCCACTGTGTTGGAAAGCTGCCACCACACTGGATGGAAATATCCAACATGGCAGCAGGATGCATCCAGGAGCCCCCATGAGCTTCAGCTCATTATAATGTCACGATACTAGAATTACCATGGAGGGTACACCCACTCTGATCACATCTCTGAGTCCATATGTTTCCTAATATGGGTGCAGGAATGGGTGGTGACCAACTGTACCCCTAAGTCTTCGTTCGGTTGAATATTCAGTTGGGCTCCATCTCTGTCATCACTCCCAATCTCTCTTGCAGGTATAAAAAGAAGACCTAACCTTGTTGAAGGGACTTACTCTTAAGAGTTTATATTGGTCGGAGACTTTTTCCACTTTGAATGGTCTTTTCACAGTGGGAGTTTCCTTTGCCTGGGATACTTTTGCGGTTCGGGCTTCTCATACATGACTTGGTTCTCGCGCTTGTACTTTTGCTTTCCTCCAGAAGCATCCTGTTCTCCTGTAAGCTGATATGCCTCTGCCTTTGAATTCTTTCATGTGTGGAGGCAGGAACCAGCAAGAAGGCCAGCAGGTAGCACCCCCACTTACACCGGCCACACTATGACAGGTGTGCTTGGACCCAGCCACCTGACCCTGAGTCTGTATTTGAATCTCTGCACTGTGCTCTGTTCTATTGATTGATGCTCACATCAGCCACCCACAGTGCAGAAAGCACCTGTGCCTCCAGACCCGCACATTCAAAGCTTGCTGGTGAACTGCTTTATTCAGAAAAGGAGTCCCGCACCCATTCCCAGGAGTGCAGGGAGCTGGAATTGGAGGAGTAAGCAGGAAGTGTGGAAATCTGAGAACCAGAGAGTTCCACTGCGAGCATTGGGCTTCTCATCCTGGGTGGGCATAGAGGGCTCCTACCCTTGCCTCTAGGGTGAAGAGGGATATTTTCAGGATGAGGGATGAGGGTGTAATGGAAAGAAATGCAACCTTGGTGGGGAGCAGGTGCCATGGCTGTGAGGTCTATCAACAGCTTGGTTTGTTTCCAGTGCACAGCAGGTTGGGGTAATTCCAGTAGTTTTTATTGTAGGAGTTCTGGTGTTTGGCAAAGCAGTAGGCAGCAGCCCTGTCACATGTACATACTGCATTCCTACAGCTGTCCTCCTTTTCTGAAACCAAAGCAGATAAGTATGAAATGAATTATTCTATACTTTCATTTGGTAGGTGGTGAGAGAACACAAAGCTGGTACCACAATGACTTCCGCTCTGGGTAGGGTGCTTAGAGTCCTGAAATTCTGATGGTTGGGAGACAGAACTGCCCTTGTCAGTGAGCTCCTGTTGGATGGGCACACAGCGATTGAGCTGGGAGCTGTTCCAGAATACTTACCTACCATGGTCATTTTTTGCTTGCTAACAGACATGTCCTGGGGACACAGGACTGGCTGCTGGGGCATGAATATGAACTGTGATTGGTGTAGGTCATGCACTATCATCTTGTCCTGCTTGGCACTGAGGTTCTCAGGCTGGCATGTGACCTCATGCTGATGGGCAGCAGAGTCCCAAGGGGGGCCTGTTGGTCCCGCTGTGCTGGACACCCTCTCCTAGGCTGTTGTCAATCGCGTCCTGCTTGCTAACACCTATACCTCCTCTCTTGGTCCTCGTCCTGACTGTCTAACCCTTCTCTGTTGTCTATGTGAATCATCAAATGCGGGAGCAGAGTGCCCTGGTCCCTCACTGCTAACTCAGGCCACGCCCCTCCTTTCAGCTGCAGGTGCTGGACAATGCACTGTTCCTGCTGGAGGGCCCAGACCTCAACACGGACAGAACTGCTCCTACATCCTCATCCTGTCTCCATGGCCCTCTTCCTCAGTGTCCCTGGGCAGCACAGGCTGGCTTCTGGTCCTTCTGGTCCTTTGTCCATGCTGTGCACTCTGCTTTCATTGCCTCTAGCTCTTCTTCTCCTCTGTGCACAGGTGCATCCCAGCCTAGAGTGACTCCACTCTCAGGAGGTGACCCTAGGCATCCCGGTGTGGTTGCTCAGGCATCCTTGCTGCTATAGTCTTTCCCACCTTCTGTCTTCTTTGTCCTGACTTCCACTCAACTGAAACTCTTAGAAGCAGGGACAATGCCGCTCAGATTATTCTCCTAGTCTGCCTGCCCAGGGGTCACTCAGTGAATGAAAGAACTCAATGGAGTCATGGGGTCTTACCACAAATGATGTTGCCTCCACTCTTGCTGTAATTATAGCTCAGAAGTTTGGTGCGACACCCAAGATCATCCAGACGGCGGTAGCAACAGTCATGGATGAAACAGCATCTGTAGGAAGACATGCTGTAGAGTGCCTTCCCATAACTTCAGGGTCCCTGTGCCCTCACAGTGTTATCATTGACCCTGAGTAAAGACTCAGTGATCCTGGAGTAATACAGAGTTGGATCTCAGCATATTGGCTGCTGCTTCTGCAGGGATGTGCTGGGTCCCCTGTATTCATGAGGCACAGACACTGTCCTGCACCTCTGCTCCCGCAGGTCCCAAAGGGGAGCAGAGTGATAGAAAGGCTGAGGTGGCCTCACCGATCTGTTTCATCCTTGGGAGCTCCTTTGCCACCCACGCCACAGTGACAGCCATAGCCATTATAATTCAGAACAGCGCTCTTCCCAGTTATGTACTTGATCATGTCTGCAAATTGTATCAGATTCCCATGTACCTGCAGCAAACCTGGAAAGAAATGGCCTGGTGATGGGGCATGGAGTTGTTTCCTCCTTCTCTGCCACTCTCCCTCCCTCAAAGTTTTCTCTCCTCCCCCCCATCTAGAGAGGACAGATGTGGTGGGAGGGAAACTGGGGTAATTGTGTTTCCTTCCCTGAGCTGTCCTCTGCATGCAGGGGTCACAGTCAGGTCTTACCACAGGTCATGGTCACAGCCAACAGCAGCAGGGTCTTCATGCTGAGAGTTCTGTGTGGGGTAAAGACAGAGAGACTGGCCTAGACCCTTTGCCCAGGTGGTCCCAGCTTCTGCCCTGGCCTTGTTATCTTTCCCAACCTATCATCTCCAGAGCTCATACTTGCTCTTCACTGCCACACCCCAAGGCTACGTCCAGGGGGACTTTGGTCCTCACATGCAGTGACCTGCAGCATTGCACACAGACACACACTGCCTCCTGAACCCTTCCAGATCCATGCTTTCCCACACACGAGGCCCTCACGTCCAGGGAGACCTCATCGCATCTGATCCTGAGTCCTCTTATTATCCATCAGACAGAGAACTCCTGGAAGGAGGAATCCAAGTTCAAGTCTCAGAACTGGGAAAGCTTGAGGTCAGAGGTTTGCCTGCCCATTTAAACTGTATACTGCACCAAACATCGGAGCTCCATTATGGATTTTTTCTCCAGATTGAGGGCAGCAGCCCCCTTTTTTCTAGACATTCTAATTCCATATATATCTACATCTGCCCCCACACGTTCATACAACTCTATGCTAGCCCACTCCGGCACTCATGCCAAGTTACACAGCCCATCATGAAATGCTCAGAGCCCCAGCAGCTTGTGCACATGCACCCTCTTGATCTAACGCTGCACGCCATGCAGCATGTCCAGGCATACGTGCATTCGCAACCACACACGCAGACACAAATCCAATCGTGAAGACTAAGAATGAGCACAAATTGCTACACCCATGGCAAGACATTTGATTCTGGGTTTTTACCTCTCAGGGGATGCTGCAGCTGATGCTTCCAAATGGTAATGTGACTTATTCTGGATCCTAGTTCCCCTTATATAGCTGTTATCTGTAGCTTGTTATATGTGTATGTGTGTTTGGGGGGGGGCAGTGAGGACATGGATGGAGTGGGTGTGGTCATTCGGTGGATTCAAAGGTCAGCTCACCTGTATAACTGTGTAATCAGCTTTTATGTCTCTCATGAGGTGACAGGAGGGAGCTGAGGATTGAGACCATATGTACTGAAGGCTGATGCCAGAGTAAATGCAGGGTCATTTTAAAGCTTTTCCTCTGGGCTTTGATCCTGAGTAATTCTAGTTGTCTCCAGGTGTGACCACTGCTCAGTGCCCTCTCTGCAGTCACTCCTAGGAGGCGCTCGGGCAGGTGTAGACTGAACTGCATTAAGAGGGGGCCCCCACATCATGGGAATACCGTTCCTGTCTTCTGCTCTGTGTGACCCTTAGTGCGATTCATTTATTCTGTCATTCAATGCCACATTCATCCTGTGCTCCCCAAGGTTCCAGGACTAAGGTGGGACTCTTGCGTGATGAGGACCATGCCTGGGCCTGTCTGGGAGCCCCACTGACCAGCAGGGAAAGGACTGAAGGAAGAGGATTCCCCATGCTCCATGGCTGGGCCTGCACCTCCATCTTCCTTTCTTTCTCTCCACCTTTCTCCCACCTCCGTCCCAGGGCCTCCAATGCCTGGAATGAACAACAAAGAGCTTTCTGCCCCTCATCTGTCACCTGGCCTATCTGGAGTTGTTGCCATTTTTCTCTCAGATCACTGCTCCCGTTTGCTTCTGTATGTAGGTACTTAGCAACTGCACCTTTAAAAAATTATTTATTGCTAAATGTTCATTATGTTTATTAGAAAGACAGATTTTATTTTTTTTTTAAAGATTTATTTTTATTATTTTTTCATTGGAAAGGCGGATATACAGAGAGGAGAGACAGAGAGGAAGATCTTCCGTCCGATGATTCACTCCCCAAGTGAGCGCAACGGGCCGATACTATGCCGATCCGAAGCCAGGAGCCTCTTCCGGGTCTCCCACGTGGGTGCAGGTTCCCAAAGCTTTGGGCTGTCCTCGACTGCTTTCCCAGGCCACAGGCAGGGAGCTGGAAGGGAAGCGGGGCTGCCGGGATTAGAACCGGTGCCCATATGGGATCCCGGGCGTGCAAGCTGAGGACCTTTAACCACTTGCGCCACCGCGCCGGGCCCGAAAGACAGATTTTATAAAGACATAAGGACAGAGAAAGGGACATCTTTCATCTCTTGAGTCACTCCCCAAATGGATGCAACATCCAAAACTGAGCCAACTGACCCAGGACCCAGAAGCTTCTTCTGGGTCTTCCATGTGGACGTAGTGGACGTAGGGCCTCAAGGACTTGAAACATCCTTTGTTGCTTTCCCAGACCATTGGCAGGTATCTGGATCAGAAATGTATCAAATGGGACTTGAACCAGTGTCCACATGGACGCCTACTCTGCAGGTGGAGGAACAGCCTGTTAAAGCTCTGTGCTTGCCCAGCAATTCTACTTTTGATGTCTAGCAAATACATCTTCTTTCATTTTGAAAAGTTATTAATATTATTATCATTTTATGATACAGTTCCATAGTCTCCTGGCATTTCCCTTAACCCTCCCCAATCCTCCCCACCCCCCCACTCACCCAGTTCCGCTCTATCATTACTGAAGTATAGTTCTCCACACATAGTCATATGTCAATCATTGCATGCATGGACAATGGCAGAGAGTCCAGAATCCTATTGTCAAGGTAAAGTAAACATTTTCATTTAAGTCCATCTTCGTCTGGAAGTAGAGAGGCATACTACATTGTATCCTCACATCCAGATGTTAGTCTCCATTACACAACTACTATACATCCCCTTAAATGAAAAATCACAACACAAAATCAACAGCAGGAAGAAAAATGGAAATTTACAATGCCATGAAGTTAAATGACATGTTACTAGATATGACAGTCTCCATTAAACAGCTAGTATACAACCCCTTAAATGAAAAGACACAAAACAAAATCAACATCAGGGAGAAAAAAGAAATTACCAACATCATGAAGTTAAATAACATGCTACTGAATGATTAATGTGTCACTGAAAAAATGAAAATTAAGAACCTTCTTGAAGAAAATGGTGCTACTGTAGGATTTATGAGTCACTGAAAGATTTAATCAGAGGAAAGTGTTTTGAAGAGATGAAACTAACAGAAAACAACAAAACTCATGCGATATAGTTTCCATTGATTTCTGTGGGTGAAGTGTGTCTCTTCTAGACAATAAATAAACGAGTTTTGTTTTTTAATCCAGTCTACTAATCTATGACGTTTGATTGAGCTTAAGCCATTAATATTCAGGGTTAATATGTATAGGTGGTACTTTGGTCCTGTCATTTTAGGAATGGGTTGTTCATTGGTTTAGTCTTCTGTTGTCATTTTACTGTGATGTTCTTCCCATTTGCCTTTGGTTTTGTTGGGTACTATTCCTCTTCTCTGTCAAGAGAACATCTTGAGTATCCTGTGTAGGGCAGGTTTGAAAGGCGCATATTCTTTTAACTTTTCTTCACTGTGGAAGAATTTTATTTCATTTTCAACGACAAAAGAAAGCTTAGCTGCATATGTTATTCTGAGCCGACAATTTTTTTTCTTTTAGAATCTGGAATATGTCACTCCATTCTCTTCTTGCCTGTAGAGTTTCCTGGGAGAGGTCTCCTGTGAATTTAATTGACATTCCTTTATACGTCAGTCTATTTTTTCATGTGCACACTTAAGGATCTTTTCCTTGTGGTCAATTGAAGAGAGCTTGATGATCATGTGTCTTGCTAAAGATTGCTTCTAGTCAAGCCTGTTGGGAGTTGTGTGCTCCTTTTGGATGTTGTTTCTCAATTCTTTCTCTAGATTAGGGAAATTTACCTTCATTATTTCATTAGATATATTTGTAAACCCAGTTTCTCTTTCTGCACCTTCTGGAACTCCCATAACTCTTATATTTGGCCTCTTAATAGTGTCTTTCCATTCTTGGATACTTTTTTTTTTTTGGCCGGATCCAGCTCTGCTTCCAGCTTTTTGTTTGTTTCCCCCTGATGACAGGAAATATCTTCCAATTCTGAGATTTTTTCTTCTGCTTGCTTCATTCTATTTTGGAGACTCTCCACTGTACTTTTAATTTGCTCTACTGCGTTTTAAATTTCTGATATATCAGCCTTGATTTGCTTTATTGCTGCTATTTCTTGTGTAACATATTCTATAAATTGTTTGAACTCTTGTTTATGCTTCTCATTGTTGATCAGAAACTTTAAAATTAGTTTTCTTAATTCTGTATCCCCCATTTTCTCAATGTCTGCCTAGGTTAGCTCTGAGGTTGGCATAGGGTTTTGCTGGTTTGTTCAGGGGACTTTTCAATAATATTTATTGAGCTTTTGTGTCTTCTTTTGCTCTTGGTCATTGTACTTCTGGTTATGAGAGTCTTCTCCTTGGGGCAGGTTTCTAAGCTGTGTTATCCATAGGTCTACAGGTCGATTTTGCTAATTGCAGTTGGTACACAACTTTTTGCTTGCAGCCACTTTTGCCACAACCTCCAGTGAGTTCCAGGCCTGGGTTCTTATGTTAGATTTTCACCGTGGTCTCCATAGCCCCAACGCCTGGCTCACCAGTCTCTTCCTCCTGTGATACCCTGCTGAGGTTGCACCGTTGTCTGTACAACCTTTCTCCCACTTCCGGTTGGAGCAGGTCCCAGGATTAGAGAGACACCAGGTGTCCTATATAGCTAGGTTTTGGTGGTGCTGATGTTGCCGGAACCTATTGGCCGCTAGGTCTGGGTGCCACACAGACCTATTTTGATCCATACAATGCCAAATTTGGCATTATTTTTCCTGTGGGACCAGTGCAATCCACTGAACTCAGTGAATTCTTGCGAGCTCAGCACATGCATAGTTCACTGTTATCCCCTGCAGTCCTAAAGCTATTGACACAATGTCCAAAATGGCGCCCGATGTACCACTACTAGAGTTCATGATCTGCTGGCCATCAGATCTGAAGGCTACCCAGACCTGTCTTGGGTGGAACCTGTAGAATTCCATGTTGATGCAGTTCACTGAGTCAGAAATGAGCTCATTCCCAGCTGAGAGCATGCTCAGCCCTTTTACTTGACCTTGCCTCCTTATGCAAAATGTTGCCCAATTCAGCTCTAATGGTCAGACTGGACTGTGAAATCCA